TGTTTCAAATAATGGTTTGTGTTGATATGGTTATGTTTTAATATAGTTCTATTTGCAATAGATATGGTTATAGGTTTGTTTTATTTAAATTTTTAATTTGATATGGTTATGCTCTGTCCTCAAGCTGCTGGAAAAACAACTATATTCTACAAGCTTCACATTGGAGATCCATTGTTCCTACAATTGGTTGGTTTTTATTAAACTCATAAAAAAATTCATTGCTTCCTTTGTTAAAATTTCTTAAAGGTACATATCTTGTTATTAATTAATGATAATGAAGTTGTTTTGGCATTTATAGTGGAAGTTCATTTGCTTCCAGTTCCTCTAGCCGACAAGTGTTTATGTTTGGAATAATGCATTTTGGTAAGTTACATGGTGCTTATTTATTCTAGGAAGATAGTGAAGTTTCTTGTATTTTCTTGCTTACCGAATTGGGTTTTCTTTAATTTTTAGAGCTTGGGCCTCACATTGAGGTGTTATTTTTCTGTTTTATATTTGTTATTTTACCATTTAATTGTCACACTTTATGTCTTAACTCTTAATAAATAAATTGGTACAACAATACACTTATACACTTTACGATTAATAACTTATTTTTATAATTTTATGAATATTATTTTTTGATAAAAAAGCTATAACTAATACAGTTTAATTAATCATAAATAAAAAACTTTAGTTATTTTTTCATTTTTAATTAGTTATTATAATTATTATCATATCATAGCTTAACAAATTGGTACAATAATACACTATATATTTATGTTATAATTAATTATTTATGTTTAAAATTCTAGAAACATTGTTTTTAATTAAAAAAATATATAATTAATGGCAAATAACACATATGTTTTATTTTTTATTTGAGAGAATTATATGTAATTTTGATATTAATATGTTATTTATCATCTTATAGTTTTAAAAATATTAATATTTACTATTGTTTACACATGAATAAATTTTTACTGTAATTTAAATATTAAATTGTTAAATTTTAGATGTTTTAGAGATTATTAGTTAAATGGACATTATTTAAGGATTAAATTCAAAAAAAAAAAATTAATACAATTTTAACTATTAATACAATTCTATTTTTAACTATTAATACAATTTTTAATAAAATATTTTTTTTTACATTTTAAAATATTTAATTTTAAATTTTGCCAACGGCTTAATTCATACCTGTTAGTTTTTTCTCCATATTCCAAAGATATTCATGACTAAACCAACTTATATCCAATGTGACATACCAAAACCAATTCTATAGCTTGGAACGCCTTAATTTTACAGTTGTAAATTCATCTGATCGATTTTTTTTGTACTCATATTTCAAAATCAAATTTTTAGTAATATTTCAATTCTTATGGACATATTTCATTGGCATGTAGGCAAACAAATATGGTTGATTGCTACTATAGTTATGATCTCAGGAATTTGGATATAGCCAGATAGGTTCATAAAGATTACATTTCTGCCGTGTAATAATGAATTTTCTTTAAATATTTACATATTTTGTAATTCTGCAAATGATCGTATTAACATTTTCATGATTTTTTCTTTAGGATGGATATTGATTATATTGGTGCATAAGGTTAATAAATGAATGAAAGGTAAGAAAGAATATATTTACTACAATGACGGCTAGAAAGTTTACAAAAAGAATGATACAAATGATTGTTACTAATAGTCTATTTATACACAAAGTAAATTGTCACGCAAGTCCCAATAAAAGTAAACTTAATGACTAAGTTAAAAAATATAAATTCGGAAATATTAAACTTAATTGCTACGCTAACAAACTCAACTCCATAACCCCAAAAGCTAAGCATACTTCTGGGCGTAATCTCAGAAGCTTCTGCTTCTGATCTCAGAAACTTCTGCTTCTGATCTCAGAAACTTCTGCTTCTGATTAATAACAAATTCTGATTACATCAAACTACTGTTTTTAACTAAGCAGTCTCAGAAGCTTATGGCTTCTGGCTAACAACCTCAGAAGCTCTACTGCTTCTGAATAACAACATCTTCTGGATATGAATTACTTCCAACACAGTCCCTTAATTCATATTCAGCTAACCAAAACTCTTCAACACCAATTTCATCCCTCAAATGAATAAAGTGTTCAGTCTTGACATCCTTCGTCAGAACATCTGTAAGTTGCTTCTGGTTACTATAGTGTGAAACTTCTAATGCTCCATTTAGAAGTGAATATTTCTCCTTGAAAACTCATCTGACGCTGATGACTTTCTTCTCCTTTGGAAGCTCAGTTATCTCACAAATCTTGTTTCTTTCTATAGCATTAAGCTCTTCTTTCATGTTCTTCAGCCACACTTTTTTCTTGAGAGCTTCACGGGTTGACAACGCAACCACCAGTTACTTCTTGGTGCACCAAGAAATAGGACTTTCCAGATACAAACAAAAATATCCAGAAGTATTTCTTCTGTCAACTCTGTCTTCATATCAATCAGAGTCTGGATAGTGTTATACCCCAATTTTTGCCCCAAAGATTTCTCATCATCTCATATCATCAATGCATCGAGATCACGCATTAGGGAAGACAGGGTTATCGACTAAGAAGTTCAGGTGATGGTTCTCCGGTTAAGGTCGTGGGTTGCTCAGGCCAAGGACTGGTTCTCAGAGGCCTATGTTTCATAGTGGTGATCTATAATCTTAGGTCACTCTATCCTCAAGCTTCAGTTGGCACGGTTAAGGTGAGTTTGGTTGCTTAATTTTCGAAATTCTTTGAGATCGGTTAATGTGTTTATTTCCATGCCTTCTTTGACGAGTACTCTCAAGTTCTGACAAGTGTGAGCATGATTTGGTCAAGACTTCATTATTTCAAGTCCATGTATGATTAGTGCTTCGGATTGTGAAGAAAGACAAAGTCTGCAGTTAATCTAAGTTGGTTGACTGAAAGTCAACGTTTGCAGGTTTGAGTTCAAACGATCATAAATTCTTCATTACTCGGTATTTTTGAGTGATTCTTAGAGCATATGAATCTCCTTGACATCATCTCCAATTTCTCTTTACAAGTCGAGAGTTAATTATGTGTAGAAGACCATCAAAAGTTTGAGTACATTAGAGGTTGTTTTGTGGACTTTGACCTATTTTCAAGTGACTTTCGTCCAACTTTCGTTGATCATAACTCTTTCAATTTTCATTTTTTTAGAGATGATTATTTTTGCACGATATCACGAATGGTGTTGTCTACAAGATTGCCTCAAGGAGCGAGAGAAAATTGTGCTTAGAAGACCTTGAATTTGTTTTGAAACATTATCGGTCATTTTGGAATTAGTACCTTCTTGACCTATAATTTTGATTTATGTCATGATTGCTTCTTTAAGATAGTGGTCTCTTTTGTTGAGGTAATTAGTTGTTCAAGTCAAATTTCTTCTTGCTATGAATTAAGATCTCATCAACTTTTCAAGGGGAATTCGGTTGTTTCTCGAATTTATGATTTAATAGAAGTGTGGTTCATGGTTATGAAGTGTTTCTTTCAAGTTTAATTATAAAAGAATTCTTGATTATTGGTTTATGTGGGATTCAAAGTTGTTGATTCAAACACATCCTAATTTTCTCAAGGGGTTGAAGAAGTTCAAGATCATCCATGTCAAGTTTAAATTTTCATCAAATTTGTGATTCAAAAACTCAAAATCCAAATTTATTTACAAGGTCATGATTCAAGGATAAAGAAATAATTATGTGGATTACTTGGAAATTCAAGTCACTTAAGACATTCATCATTTTTTAAGACTCATTTCAAGCTTCAATTTCAAATTATAAGTAGAGAGGAATTCTTTTACTCTCATGAAGTCAAAAAGGAAACTACAAGGCATCCATTTCAAATACTTCAAGACATTTTCTAAGTTCAAATTTCATTCAACTCTCAAAATTTCAAGTGATGCAAACAAAGTTCAAGCATTCCAAAAATACTAAAAGAGTTCCATGTTCATCAAAGTCACAAGCTCACAAATGGATTCGATTTTAAATACACAAGAAAAATTCGAGTTTTTTACGTAAGCATTAAAGTGTTCCTACCATTACACAAATGAACAACTAATTTCTCACATTTTTATGGTTTCACCTTGATTCCACAAACAAGAATTCAAGTTCCATAGCCTAAACTTCCAAGTTGCCTCATCAACTTACAAGAGCTTCTCAGATTTCTTATGCTAAGTTTCAATTATATCAATCATTGAGAATAATGTTACAAGTACAAATTCATGGTACTCTCTCCTAATAAGTTGAAGAACTAAGTTTCATTCATGGCCCTCTTGAGCGTATATCTTCCTGAGCCATCCAAAACTATGGCCTCGAGTTCATCTTAGCATATTCAAGAATCCACCATTTTCTATGACAATTCTTGTGTGCAACTCAACAAGTCATCACACGTCATGAAACGAGAGAAAATAAAGAGAGTGTATTAGCATATCATTTCAACAAAATCAGTCCTTCAACATTTCCAATGCACAAGTTTATAATATGTTATTTCTAAGGCCCGAGATGGATTGCATCAAAACATTGAAACAAGACTGTAATTGAGCATTAAAAAACAATACAACATTGCAAATAGAACAACCTTTTGGACTGAGTAAATGCAAGACTCATGGGCTGGATTTGAGAGAAAAAAATACATTTCATCAGAACATGTTTTCAACCCAATCTAGAGATTCACAACAGAACTTTGTTCACCAAAATGCCCTAATATCAAGCTCTACATAAACAATCATTTCACACTGACACAAGGGGGATTCAGACTGAGAAATTCAAAATTACAAACAGAAAAAGGCTAGAACAACTCACCTGACCGGAGAACCCTTCCTCGCTAAAAAACCCTTCGTATTTTCCAAATAACACCATCATCCGACTAATCGCCGTCATCTATCAGAGAACCACCATTCCTAATCTGAAACTGGCCAGAGAACCCTTCCTTCCGCCGTTCTTCACTTTAAAAGGTTGAGTTTCCCCCTCTGGCCGAATCTTCCCTTTACTTTGCGATTCTGTGAATGTTTGATGTAGTTTTGTATAAACTTTTTCCAAACTTCCTCTATAGATCTAGGACTTTTGGTGTCTTTTTATGGAAAACTAATTTGATTTTCGAAATAAGGGTGGAGATCCGAGCGAGACTGAAAAAAATTTCAAAAAACGAACAATGTTCGCGGTGGCGCCACCACGCCGGTCGCAGGTCACCACCGCGAACCATCACCTCCCTCCGGCCATTTCTTCTCTTTTTCTCTATTATTTTGTTTTTTTTTTTTTTTTTTTTAAAAGAAAGAACAAAAAGATGATGATGATGAGTAATAGAGAGAGAGAGAGAGGATATGAAAGGAAAGAAAGTTTTTGTTTCATAAAAGCAGTATTGAAGAGCCATACATTAATTGGTTTGTTTTATTCAAAGATCTATTCCCTCTCTTTTTTCTCGGTTACTGTGTAGCCATGGAAGGGAGGACAGGTGGTCCCTCTGACACTTGTCCTCATCTGAGAAGATAATACGAGTTTTGATTCTCCGCGTGCATGTTCATTCTGTTACTGTGCACCTCTCGTTCTGAATCTTTGATCCTACATAAAATAGCTTGTTGATTAGATCAGATGACTGAGATTTATTCTGGTTTTACTTTCTTTAATTTTAATTCATTTTATCTTCTAGAATTCATAATAAATTCAATTTTTATCCGAAAATTCTGGAAAAAAATCATAAAATTAATTTATCTCATTTCTGACTTTATGTAACTTTTTCGAAATTTAATCTTATTTTTTGCTATTTTTTTAATTATTTTTCACTTATTTGACTGATTTTTATTAATTAAAATAAATACTTTTATGCATTAAAAACTTCTGGAAAAAATTGTCAATACTTCTTTTTTGGTATTTGGCTTATGGTAATTTTTTGGAATTTTTATTTGGTGTTTTTGATACACTATGTATATTTCATCAATAAATTCCAATTAATCAATCATATTTTTTTATCTGTTTTGTTAATTGCAATTATATATTGTATATATTTTATTGTTGGACTTGAACCATTGGATTTTAATCATGTGCTTCATTAACATTATTAGATCTTGAGTATTGAGTTAAATTCCACCAAAATAGATGAATGATTTTAATGATAGCTTGATTAAATTATTTGGTTCAAATGTGGAATTTAATCCTTATCTGCTTCTTCTTCATTTTATTTCTTTTTAACTTTTCTTATGCTATAAGTTTCATGAGTGTGATTTCTATCATATCTCTAGCTTGTGTTGTACATACATTGATATTTACTGGCCTCAAAATAGGTGTGACTTCTACGTAAGTTCAATTATGATTGCTTAACATACTGCTAAAGTTGTCCTGATTCGAGAAATGATCATTCAAGGTCCACACCTATGTTTGTAAGGCTAAGGATGTTTAATTTGAAACATTTGATCCAATAACTTTGAGGTTCATTGTTATGAGGCTTTGGTCTTATCAATTCTCTAATGAACCTTCATAAAATTTGGTCTAAGTGAATCATTTAAACATTATTGATCATATGTTGTTGCCTCGAGAAATGGAAATGAACGATATATTTGACAAAAAGCAAATGAGACTTGTTGTTGAGAAGTTTTGATCATATCAATCTTCTAATGAGTTCTCAAATGCAAGTTTCAAGATGTTTATTCAGCTAACCTCTAATTTCTAATTCACTAATAATTGACTTTTACTTTGTGCTTTTATTTTATGCATTTACTTTTACGCACCATTTATTTTAGAAATTACATTTCATACTATTTTCATCTTTGCTCACTTGAGCATTTATATTTACGTCATTTCCTATTTTTCTCACTTGAGCTTTCCTTTTCCCTTTTTTGAAGATATTTAATAACCAACTTGAACATTAAAAAACCTTAAAGTTACTCGGACTATTTGCTTACCATCCTTGACATTAGGAAGTTGTGAAACTTAGGATTAGAAACCTTGATTACCCTTTTGGACCTTGCGATTTTGTTGTTATTTTGTCTGGAGTTATTGGGGTTTACCCCAAGACATTGGGTTGATTTTTTGTGTGCAGGTTATTCTGACTATGTGCTTTGTCTGTGATTGCGAACTCCTCTGTATACAATTGTTACTCTGCCCAATTTTTATGAAGACTTAATGCATCTGAAGTTTGGTATTCTTAAGGGGTTTAGTATCTTTGCTTGCTTGGTTTCAATCCGAAGGATGTGAATTCTATATTGACTATTGATCTGACCTGATCAGAAATGGACCGTCACGGCTGGCTCCGAGCAGAAAGCTTTTTGAACGAAGTGGGGGGTACCTGCAAGGCACTCCGATGCTGAAGTAAGTAGGAGTACGAGCAGATAATAGCAAGTGTAAGGTTAGAATGATGAATACCTGACCCTCTGGAAGCAGAGGGTATTTATAGCCCCCAGCGCTGGGCCAAGGTTCCTTCATTGGGCCGGGCAGGTTTGGCCCAATGGAGGAACTGCCAGGTTCTACGTGCGTAGTGGGGATCCGCACGTGGTCCCCTTCCTGGATGTTCTGCGTGAAGTGCGGGCGGACGGAGACGCGGTCTTTTCGGAGTATCGTTGGGGGAACAGTGGATTGAGTCTGCCCTAGCTGGGGTGCTCGAGGTAACGTCGAGCTGGACCTCAGAATGTGGTGCTGGACCACAGCATGTCGAGCTGGAGGTGTACTGTCGAGCCAGCGACTACGCGTCGGGCACGGTCGTACTCTTTGGTCGGCGTGGCCCTTGTAAGTCCATTTGGACTGGGCCTTTGCAATGCTTTTGGGCCTGTCGGGCCCAGTCCAGAACAGGAGCCCCCAAGTCGTGGTTCCTTTGTGAGGAGCCATGGCTTGAACTCAGGTCGTTTCCTCATCGAGGTCTCGTTCCCGGGACAGAGGTGTAGGCCCTCGAGGCCTCCTCGTGCCGTGCTCGGAGACATCCTCCGCGGTGGATGCCTGGAGGATCCTCACCGGGCGCGTCTGTCGAGCATACGAGGTATCTTTCGGGAACTGTGTCGCCACCCTATGAGGATAGGGTCATCATTACGTTGGGAGCAGCGCGTCGGGGAGAGAGGCTCCATGGTTGTGACGTTTGGTATTCCACGTCATCACTATAAATAGGAACCTTGGGCCCCATAAGACGTTTCTAAGGCCCAATATGGATTGCATCAAAACATTGAAACAAGACTGTAATTGAGCATTAAAAAACAATACAACATTACAACATTGCAAATAGAACAGCCTTTTGGACTGAGTAAATGCAAGACTCATGTGATGGATTTGAGAGAAAGAAATACATTTCATCAGAACATGTTTTCAACCACATCTAGAGATTCACAACAGAACTTTGTTCATCAAAAAGCCCTAATATCAAGCTCTATATAAACAATCATTTCACACTGACACAAGAGGGATTCAAACTGAGAAATTCAAAATTCAAAACAGAAAAAGGCTAGAACAACTCACCTGACCGGAGAACCCTTCCTCGCTGAAAAACCCTTCGTATTGTCCAAAAAACACCATCATCCGACCAATCGCCGTCATCTATCATAGAACCACCATTCCTAATCTGAAACTGACCAAAGAACCCTTCCTTCCGCCGTTCTTCACTTTAAAAGGTTGAGTTTCCCCCTCTGGCCGAATCTTCCCTTTACTTTGCGATTCTGTGAATGTTCGATGTAGTTTTGTATAAACTTTTTCCAAACTTCCTCTATAGATCTAGGACTTTTGGTGTCTTTTTATGGAAAACTAATTTGATTTTCGAAATAAGGGTGGAGATCCGAGCGAGACTGTTAAAAAAATTTCAAAAAACGAACAATGTTCGCGGTGGCGCCACCACGCCGGTCGCAGGTCACCACCGCGAACCATCACCTCCCTCCGACCACTTCTTCTCTCTTTCTATATTTTTTTTTTTTTTTTTTTAAAGAAAGAACAAAAAGATGATGATGAGTAATAGAGAGAGAGAGAGAGGCGTGGGAGGATATGAAAAGAAAGGAAGTTTTTGTTTCATAAAAGGGAAGATCCATATATTAATTGATTTGTTTTATTCAAAGATCCATTCCCTCTCTTTTCTCGGTTACTGTGTAGCCATGGAAGGGAGGAAAAGTGGTCCCTCTGACACTTGTCCTCGTCTGAGAAGATAATGCGAGTTTTGATTCTCCGCCTGCATGTTCATTCTGTTACTGTGCACCTCTCGCTCTGGATCTTTGATCCTACATAAAATAGTCCGTTGACTAGATCAAATGGCTGAGATTTATTTTGGTTTTACTTACTTTAATTTTAATTCATTTTATCTTCTAAAATTCATAATAAATTCAATTTTTATTCGAAAATTCTGAAAAAAATTCATAAAATTCATTTATCTCATTTCCGACTTTGTGTAACTTTTTCGAAATTTAATCTTAATTTTTTCTTTTTTAAAAAAAATTATTTTTCACTTATTTTAGTGGTTTTTATTAATTAAAAAAAATACTTTTATGCATTAAAAAATTCTAAAAAAAATTGTCAATACTTCTTTTCTGGTATTTGGCTTATGGTAATTTCTTGGAGTTTTTATTTGATGTTTTTGATACACTATGTGTATTTCATCAATAAATTCCAATTAATCAACCATATTTTTTATTTGTTTTGTTAATTGCAATTATATCTTGAATATATTTTATTGCTGAAATTGAACCATTGGATTTTAATCATGAGCTTCATTATTATCATTTGATCTTGGGTGTTGAGTTAAACTCCACCAAAATGGATGAATTATTTTAATGATAGCTTGATTAAATTCTTTGGTTCAAATGTGAAATTTAATCCTTATCTATTTCTTCTTCATTTTATTTCTTTTTGACTTTTCTTATGTTATAAGTTTCATGAGTGTGATTTCTATCATATCTCTAGCTTGTGTAGTACATACATTGCTATTGACCGACCTCAAAATAGGTGTGACTTCTACATAAGTCCACTTACGATTGCTTAACATAGCGCCAAAGTTGTCCTGATTCAAGAAATTATCATTCAAGGCCCAAACCTATGTTTGCAAGCCCAAGGATGTTTAATTTGAAATCTTTTATCCAATAACTTTGAGGTTCATCGTTAGCAGGCTTTGGTCTTATCAATCCTCTAACGAACCTTCATAAAATTTGGTCTAAGTGAATCATTTAAACATCATTGATCATATGTTGTTGTCTCGAGAATTTGAAATGAATGATATATTTGACAAAAAGCAAATGAGACTTATTGTTGAGAAGTTTTGATTTTATCAATCTTCTAATGAGTTCTCAAATGCAAGTTTCAAGGTAGTCATTCAGCTAACCTCTAATTTCTAATGCACTAATATTTGACTTTTACTTTGTGCTTTTATTTTATGCTTTTATTTTATGTCTTTACTTTTATGCACCATTTATTTTAGAAATTACATTTCATGATATTTTCATCTTTGCTCACTTGAGCATTTATCTTTATATCATTTCCTATTTTGCTCACTTGAGCTTTCCTTTTCCTTTTTTGTAAAGATATTTAATAACCAACTTGAACGTTAAAAAATCTTAAGGTTACTCAGACTATTTAGTTACCATCCTTAGCATTATGAAGTTGTGGAACTTAAGATTAGAAACCTTGATTACCCCTTTGGACCTTGCGATTCTGTTGTTATTTTGTTTGAAGTTCTTGGGGTTTACCCCAAGACATTGGGTTGATTTTCTTTGTGTGCAGGTTATTCTGATTATGTGTTTTGTCTGTGATTGGGAATTCCTCTGTATACAATCATTACTCTGCCCAATTTTTGTGAAGACTTAATGCATCTGAAGTTTGGTATTCTTAAGGGGTTTAGTATCTTTGCTTGCATGGTTTCAATCCAAAAGATGAGAATTCTACATTGACTACGTATGTCAAGTGTTGGATTCTTGTTGGATAGACATTTCTTTTCCCTAGCTCTTACCTTATGATTTAGGATAGTCCCTTCATCTTCTCCCATCTTCTTTAATTTCAAAAATCCTCTCCCTCCCTTTTCAAAGCTCTTCTGGTTTTCTAACTTGAACCGCTTTCACAATAAACTTGGACTTAGGTCCCTGTATTTTCAAAATATTTTATTAATCAAACTTTAACCAACTTAATCATACTTGGACATTTTTGTGATAAGACTAAAAGTCAATCAATCTCATTCAAAGCATTCTACCACTTTGGCTCTTTACTTTAAAATTTTCTCAAAAGATTAGACTCTTGTTAATCCTTGTAGTGATGCGAGCTACTATAATTCTATGATATATAGTGAAGTGAGATATTTTCCACTTGGGTGTTGAGTGAGGCCTTGTTGATTTTAAAATCAAGCTATATCCTCTACTTTGAGATGATGCAAATTCTCCTTTATCATAAACATGAGTAGTAATTATGTTTTATATTCGGATATGACGATGATATCTCATCTCTTAAAATTAACCAACACACTTGTGTTTTAAATTTTTAAAGGTGAACTATGAGTACCCTGACCCCCCTATTGCACGGAAGGTGGTACGTAGGCACCAAAGGTTCACAACTGCGGCGGGTGCAAAAATTGTAAAAAATACTTCTGTTCTCATATCCATCATCTATTTTGTATACAACATTTATAGCTAAAATACACAAATTTTCAAAGAGGTTCCCGCGGGGTACCGTGGATGTTTAGGGTGCTAATAACTTCCCTTTGAATAACCAACCCCCGTACCTATATTCTCTTTCCCTCTTTTTTGGGTATTTTCTCTTTTCTCATTCCTCTGGAAACAATAAAGCACAGTGGCGATTTTTATTTGATTTGTGCGAGTCAAGTCAATTCAATGGCTTAGTCTCAACATTTATACCACTACAAATAGCATGTCAGTTGTGCATCTGATCTAACACTATAAGGGAATAACACTTCATACCTCAGAGTCCCTTCATAATCTTGCAGCTTGTCAAACTCTGCAAATATCCTTGATATATTTCTGATTCATTGTGGCCTCTGGACTTGTTCAGAATCTCTTTATGATTCTAAAACTGTATCTTCTTCTGAACTTTCTTCAGAGGATTGACTACCACCAGAAGCTCCACCATTGTTAGCTTCTGGACCTTGTTCATAACCACTACCTTCAGAAATACCATCTTCAAAAGTTGGATCACCTTCAGAAGTTCAGCCTTCAGAAGTTCAGCCTTCAGAAGTTCCACTTTCAGAATCAATAACATTGTCAAAGGTTGGATTACCTTTAGAAGCTCCTCCTTCAGAAAGTTCACCTTCAGAGACATGATTTCCACCAGAAACATGATCATCTTCAGAAGCTTTTCCTCTAGAACCTATGTCTTCAGAGTTTCCCTTCTAGAAGAATGTCCATCACCAGATTCAAAATCTGGATCAAAATCAAATTCACCATATGACTCATCTTTAGAGTCTCCAAAAGATTCTTCATCCTCTGACTCTGACTCACCTTCAGAACTTTCAAGTTCTGACTCATCTTAAGAAGCAGAATCTCCTTCAGATTCTGACTCATCTTTTGATTCATCTTCAGACTCAGAATCACCTTCAGATCCTGACTTGTCTTCAACTTCAAAGTCATCTTCTAACTCTAAGTCATCTTCAAAAATTTCAGATTCTGACTCATCTTCAGAATCTTTAGCGTCATCTTCTGATTCTAACTCATATTTAAACACTCCTTCATAGTCAGAATATTCAGAGTCATATTCTTCCCCTTTAGAATCAGAAAATGACAATTTCACAGGTTCCTCATCAAATTCATAAGCCATTAATAGCACAGGTTCATCATCTGAATCTCCTCTGACTATTTTTGCTTCTTTTGATTTTTATCCCTTGTTTGACCTACAATCTTTAGCAAAAGGGCCAAACCCATTAC